AAAATAGAAAATTACAACAATCACGTAAAAATAGATAGTCTTTCAAGTCTCGGAGTTGGTGAATTCTTCCCATAAATGTTCAATCAGTGCATTCCGAAGTGCAATATGATCATCTTTATTTCTAATTCTTTTGTACCGAGATATAAATTCTTGAAATCGAGTACTTTCATCTACTGCCATTTCGACCTCCGGCGACGGCGTTTCCATTTCAGTTTCTATTGGTGCACTTAGGTCACGTTCATCCTCGACAATCATGTTATGCAAAATTATACATGTGGTTATGATATCATGTAACACTTCTTTTCGCCAATAGCGTACTGGTCCTGCTACAATGCCAAAACGTGATTGAAGACTCTAAATGCACGTTCAACGTCTTTTCTGCAGGCTTCTTGTTTCATTGCAAAATATTTTTTCTTGGACCACGTGGCTCATGAATTGTTTGCACAATGGTAGACCATTTTGGATATATGCTATCAGCTAAATAATAACCCATGTTGTATTCTTTTCCTTGAATTATATAATGAGCTGGAGGAGCAATACCTTGGGTTAGATCTGAGAAAAGATGAGATGATTCTAGAACGTTGATGTTGTTGTTGGAGCCCGGCAAACCGAAATAAGCATGCCATATCCATAGATCATAATCTGCTACAGCTTCAAGGATGATTGTAGGCTTTCCACTACGACCAACATATTGGCCAGCCCACGCTGTAGGACAATTTTTCCACCTCCAATGCATGCAATCTAAACTCCCCAACATTCCTGGAAAACCACGTTGCTGGCCAATGTATAGAAGCCTGGAAATATCATCAGGTGTGGGCCTCCGCAGATATCGCTCGCCAAATACCTCAACTATCGATCGACAAAATTTTTTCATACTTTCAATTGCAGTGGACTCACCAATTTTAACATACTCGTCTGCAGCATCAGCTGGAACGCGGTATGCCAACATACGAAAGACAGCAGTTATTTTTTGTATTGGAGATAATCCGAGTCTGCCTGCTCGATCCACTCGCTGTTGAAAGTAATGATCATGATCTTTGACTGCGTCGACAATTCGAAGGAACAACGAACGAGACATTCTGTATCTTCTACGGAACATGGTCTCGTTATACAATAGATTTTCTGAGAAATAATCATTGTACAACCTACGATCAGCAGCTTCTCGATCACGATTGATAAAAATATGCCCAGGAACAGATCTTCCATGGGAGGCTTCTTGGTTTTGTTGATTGATAAGATGTTGAATAATGATGCTGTTATTAGCGATAGCTTGAGCTATCACTGCTTGTTTTTTACGAAGAGCATTCATAATTACCATATGATTATCCTCAGAATCAGAGGAAGAAGATGACGAATTGCCAAAATTAAAATTCATTGTAGAAAGAGAAATATGATAAGATGTTTGAAGAGATTCAAGTGTGTGATGGATTTAGTATATGTTATGTTCTTATAGTAGTGAATTTGAAAGGTGTGGTAACCTTTGTGGGGAGTGGTTATTTTCAAGTCAAAGCATTGATAGGCGTGACAGTCTTTGAGGTGAGAGGTCATTTTTTGGTCAGAACATGGATAAGCGTGATCAGCTTTGCAGTGATGTGTCATTTTCGCGTCAGAACATGGATAAGTGTGATCAACTTTGCAGAGGGTGTCCACTTCGGGTCAAAGCATTGAGAGAGGTGGGGGACATTGCAGTGATGTGTCATTTTCAGGTCAGAACATTGATAAGCGTGATAAACTTTTCAGTGATGTGTCATTTTCGGGTCAGAACATGGATAAGTGTGATCAACTTTGCAGAGGGTTTCCACTTTCGGGTCAAAGCATTGAGAGAGGTGGGGGACATTGCAGTGATGTGTCATTTTCGGGTCATAACATGATTAAGCGTGATCAACTTTGCAGTGATGTGTCATTTTCGGGTCAGAACACGGATAAGTGTGATCAACTTTGCAGAGGGTGTCCACTTTCGGGTCAAAGCATTGAGAGAGGTGGGGGACATTGCAGTGATGTGTCATCTTCGGGTCAGAACATGATTAAGCGTGATCAACTTTGCAGTGATATGTCATTTTCGGGTCAGAACATTGATAAGCGTGATCAACTTTGCAGAGGGTGTCCACTTTCGGGTCAAAGCATTGAGGTGGGAGACGTTGCAGTGATGTGTCATTTTCGGGTCATTGCAGTGATATGTCATTTCGGGTTAAACCATGGAGAGAGGAGAGGGTCTTTCACTATAAAAGAAGATATCATATTGTAGTGAATACACCCCCAACATTTTTATTCTCTACACTAAAGCTTTAGCACAACTAACTTCTTATAAGAATGTCGATCCGTTCATCTTCCTATAACCATGATGAAGATGTTCTTTTATGTCAAGTTTATATGGATATTTCTCAGGACCCAATTATTGGGGTATACCAATCATCTGATCGATTTTGGTCTCGTGTTGAAAATGCTTTCAATGAAGGACGGCTTGAGCATTGGGAGGTTCGTACCAAGAGATCTCTGCAAGCACAAATTCAAACAATCGAAAAAGCAGCCAAAAGACTCCATGCATGTATTAAAGCAGTAGAAGATATGCATCAGAGTGGTGCATCGAATGAAGATACGGTGAGTACTAAAATCTAATTGTATTTATTGTTTATTAAATTTATTATTTATATTAATTATGATTAATTGTTTATGAAAAATTGTAGATGCTCAAAGCAAAAGTGTTGTTCAAAGAAGATTCTAAATGGAGATCTGAATGGAAATTCGATCATGTTTGGGGTATTATTAAAAATTTTGAAAAATTTAAAGATGGAGCTTCGAGGAGCAAGAAAAAACAGTCTGGTTGTTATCAATCTTCGGAGTCATAAAATCCAACTCCCGAGTCTGCCCGACAAGAATCTGCAGGTATTTCTTCATTTTCTATAAATTTAAGCGACTCAGATCAATGTGCTACTGGTTCTCCATCTGAAAGACCTATCGGGGTCAAGAAAGCCAAACTAAAAAGAAAGGTAAATGATGATTCATCATCGCTCATCAATGCGATGAAAGAAGCAAACAAAAGACTTGTTGAGGAGATGAAAAATGCAAACGACCAAATAAAACATCAAATGAAGATGCACAATAGATCCCTTGCTTTAAAAGAAATGAGGGAAGAAAATAAAATTCTGTTTCAAGATGTCAGTTCCATTGAAGATCCTAGAGTTCGAGCATACATTGAAACTGAAAAGGCACGAATCTTGGAGAAAAGAGTTCAACAAGCCCAACCGGATCCATATCCAACCAATACATTTGGCCAATTTTTCAATGATCTTGGAGGAAGTGGTGCCAACTTGCCAGATTACTAAGTATTCGTGCTTGTTTTTAATTTATGGTTTATGATGTATTTTATTTTAGTACCGTGTGATCTTGTACTTTTATTTCAGCACTAGTTATTGAAATATTTTTCTTTAAACCGTGATGTATCATGTATTAGTGTTATTTCAATATGTATTAGTAATGTCGTTGTTATTTAATGCTAGTGTTTGTTTTTCTTTATTAAATAAAATATCTT